TCCCATAATATTTGGTCCTTTGTTGGCACCCAATTTCCTCTGACCCAACTTATAACGATTTGGTAAAATGATCATTCTACCCTTTCGAAGTAATCATGGAAATATTTACCCACAAAAAGATATTCAAACCATTTTTATAAATATGCAGTGGCCCGAATATGAATAAATTGTAAGTACATGAGATATACCCAGAGATATAATTAGCACATTTCAATTCATTGTCTTCATCATCCAGGAAACTATAAAGGGAGAAAAGGAAAAGATACAAAAGAAGTTAGGTCCAATAAATTGTGAACTTACCGCCTGTCCCTGGTACACCTTCTCTATTGCTTCACTAGCAGCGCTAGCCTTCAGAATTGCATCACTGGAAGCACTAGATTCAACATCATATCCTGAAGCACGCCATCTTGGCAGGCCTCCATCTAGCACCCAGATTTTGTTATGTCCAAAGACTCGGAACATCCTTTCATGTATCAGTAGATCAGTTTGCATTGATTTAATTAGCATGTGCATAAACAGATTGCACGCATTTCAGGAGGGTTTAAATGTCAACAAAAACCAAAACTCACCACCATACACGAGCTGCACTAAAAATCCCCTTCCCATCATAAACAACCAACCCATCTTTGTTATCGATGCCAAGAGCAGATGCAGCTGCCACAAAAGCTTCCTCCGAAGGCAACATGTGTGGTAACTGGTACAGGTCATCACATTAATAAAGAAAGAGGACAAAAGAAGATTAATAGACTGCCAAAATTCTGGCAATAATTACATTACGTAATGGTTTCATGTGATATTACAGTTATCATTACTCAAGGTGCAAACTAGTACGTGACAAATTCATTAATGATAAAAGTACTTTCTTTGATTAATACTGCTCCTGTAATAACTGGTAAAGGAGAGGGAGACAAGGAAGAGAAAATGCTCTATAGTCCTGAAATGCTCCATTAGTATCATAAGAAGAAGCTACTAATGAAAATTTTAAATCAAAAATACAATGCATTGACCTTACAGATGAAATATTAAACTGAGGATAACTGCCGCTATGATGGATGCTGTTGCTTCACAATGAAACAGGATAAGTATACACATCCATGCATCAAAGTGAATGATAAATGAAAGAAACCAAATTAAGAATGTCAACAAGTCCAGAATGCTCCATTCATGCCTTAAGAGTAAAAGCAAAATATATGAAAGAAAAAGATCGATTTATGTTAAAGATATGAAATTGATGGCGCATAGCCATAATAAGAATTTGTTTATTGTTGAATTATTTTTATTTTAAGTTTATTATTTAAGAGTTTTATTAGAGTTAGGAGTTCATTCTTGCTAGTAGTATTTTCTATTTGTATTAAAATTAGTATTCTTAATTCTATTAGTTTAGTATCCCCAAATTTAATTATAGTTAGAGAAGTTACTTAGTGATTATTATAAATCTCTCTATAAAGCTCACGCACGCATTGATCATTCATGTATTCAATAATAGCTTTAAGAATTTCTCACAATTGATTGTGTAGCTCAACTAATTCTTAGGTGTAATGCCTAGAACCCTAGGTCTAGGTCTTTCCCCAATTTCTTAGTAAGCAAATAAACCCTAGTTTGTCCTACATCAATGTGGTACCAGAGCTAAAAGAATCATACATTCAAATTCTCCAAACCCTACACCCAAACGATCCTAAACCCATCTGGAAAAAAAAAATCGCCAAAAAAAAAAAATTCAAAAACCCTAAAACAGACGTCAGCACTGTTCACCAGCAAACCAACACACTCACTGGCACAAGCCCCCATAGCTGTTGTGTCTTGTAAATCTACAGTTCTACATGAACGTAGAAATGAAATGTCGGCTTCAACCACAAAGCATCTCAATCTTCCTACAGAACCACATCCACAACCATACAAGGTAGCATGGATTGATGACACAGCAATTCCAGTAACCCAACAATGTTTGTTTCTTAATTCTACTAGTTAATTATTTCTTAATTC